AAAAAACCTTGGTTACTGATACTTCCAAGAAGGAGGTATGTACCCAAACATTCACGAAATACCCGGCTTTCAATTGGAGTTGATAGCTGATCATTCTAGTCTCCCTTCGTTAATTCCTTCCAGGTCAGCATTGATTGGTCGTTAGAAAAGACGGTAAATAAACAAACTCGAGTCAATAATTATGGTTAAACCCGATGTCAAAATCAGTTTTATTATGGGCGAATTAACAAAGCTAAAGCTTATCATGCCCCTTAGGATTTTTACAGAATATTTTGAATAACTTTACAAAGAGAAAATAATAATAATAATAACCTGCATGATCACTCACGGATGTCGAAATGTTAAGTGTTCCAATGCTCTATCAAGTTGCGATTTAAATAGTTCAACTGTAGGAGCATACACTACATGGGATGGAAGAGAATTTTACACACCGCACACTGACTGCAAACGAGTGGTATCGACAATCAAGATGGCTGTTCTGGGTCTTCAAATTTAGTGGATGACCCCTGAGATGAGCATTTTGAGATAAAGTCGCCATGGAACGGCAAGGATGGTTGGGTTGATGTAGTATGTGGTATGTCAAGATTAGGTTCCCCTCTCCGAAGTCGGTGGTACTGAGATGAGTAAAGTCCCATTAATTGCAGTCTTTCGGAGTATGTCTTATTATACAGACCTTTTACCAATTTTGTTGCCAACCTTTGCGAACGTTCTAGAGCCTTCTTGTCGCGGTTCAACCATTGATTCCATACCTGAACGGCGTCTTCCGTGTGTAGCCGAACGAACACTGATGACAAGCGTGCGAACAGTGCTTCTTCGAACTGCCCGAAAGCACATCTGAGTAGCCTAACTTGCTTTAGAGCACTGGATGATACTCTGGCACTGCGTGGAACATCCTACGTCCTCCTGTACCATAACTCCCAAATCCCTTTCTTCAGTGGCATGCGGTAGTATTTGGTTTACTCTAACTTTCGAGTATTTATATCTATCGTTTTATTGTTTAAATTTCTTTTTGTGTGCCACTTCCGCTCTCGTCGTTCACCCCCAGCTGATTGGCTAAATCTGTAAATTTTCCCATTTTTTGCATCAATTTTCAGGGTCGATGTCCGGAGACCCGAACAGTACACAAACAGATTGACGCTGTAAATTTGACTTGCTTGTGGTGTATTAGGTAAGCGTTTGTTGCTTGTGTTCTCATTTCCGTAGCTGGGAGAAGGCGACTAGAGTTTGTGGCGCGCACTGTATGTGGTGAGCGTGTTCTTGGGGCTAGACGACTTGTATGGTCATCGAGGTACGTGCTACATAGTGTTCGGACCAATTTCAAATTTGTGTGGATGCTTTCGCTCTGTGAAATCGTGCACATCGTCTGTGGATGTTTCATTTGTGCTCTCGACCATCGTTATTGGGAGCGCCATTTTCATTGTGTTGTCCTGTGCTGTGTTAACTTGTGTTGCATGCACTATGCGTCCCACGTAGGTACCCTGTTTTGTGTTCTTTGTGAGTGATACTGAATGACACAACAGACGGATGCCTAGCTGAGACCCCAAAAAGTGTGAAATTGATAACAATCATATCGGATATCGTTTCGACAACAATGTATAAAAAAATTTATGCTAGAATTATTTGTTTCACGCGAAATTTGACTCGTAGGACACACCAAGTCTTTTGCCGTTTACTCGAACAGTTGGTTAGGTACGTAGTGTTGAAAATAAAACGGCATCCTCACCCCCCCCCTTCGCTCCGAAGAACTGCTGGTATTCGGTTTCGATTTCAACATATTTTCAGATTTAGGGACGTAAAACCAGGACGAACCGCTCTTGAGTCCCAACAAAGACAAAAAATTGTCCAATGCTTTCTGTCGGACATCAAACAATTGTTTGGGGGACTTGTTTTTACCGAAAAACAATCACAAAAGCTATGCCACAAAAGCGCGAGATTAAGGGTCTCAAAAGCTGAAGTTGCGCCAACTTACAGAGAACGCGATGTGAAAAATGGCATGTGGCAGTTTGAGTGAGTGTGTATGAACGGTTTTAGCATTCCGGGGGATCGACAAAAACAATGCGAATCAGGTAAGGGGAGTGTATGACGAAAACTTACCAATCCCGAAGTGTTCATCGACCATTGTGTGAAGATTGATCATACACTGGTAAAAATAGCGTTTCAGTGTGGAATATGACACATTTATGTGGAACTGAACCACATCTTGCAAGCCCCGGACACGAACGAGTTCGCGTAATCGCGTCGCAAGTGCCGAGTCCGTCTCATCGCGACATCCTCCGATCAGTAACAGCCGATAGGAATGGTCACCAGCTCGTGTGCTCATTCCGCAACGAGTCAGAAACTGCGAAAACGCCTCGATTTGGAGCTGGGGGGAAAACCGCAGAAATGTTGCACATACTGAACTGATGAACCCATTAGCAGAACATACTCACAGCCCCTATTCTGCATACAGTATGGCAAGTTGTTGTTTTATTCGAACTCTGTCTCTTGCATACGTGAAAACTTAGAAACTTAGACTTCAACCGGCCAAAGAAAGGAACAATGTAAGTTGTTTTTTAAACAGTTTACAGTTAGGGTCGAGAAAACAAGGTGAAGTCTCGATCTGACATAGTTGAACGTTCTAATTCATTTCAATGATGAAGCAACAAGTGTTAAGCGATCAATGCATCATTTAGGTGACCTTATGAAAGGAGTAGGGACAATCGTTAGATTGTAAAAACTAATTGATAAATTCTATCGTATGTCAAACACGCAGTCCAGTAATTCATGCTGGAGTAGAATGCTCCAACTCTGACAGATGTCTGTGAAAAACGAAAGTATAAATTCGCGAATATTTATTGACTAGGTGAGGAGGAACGCAAAATCCAATGACAGATTTCTACCAAGACACAAGCAAAACAACAACAAGACGTGAACAGAAGCAACTGGATAAAGTATCCCAGTTAACACTATGGCACGTTCACTTCACCAAAAGTAAGAGAATTCATGTGCGTAGCAGTTTATTGGCAATAAATCACCGAAAATCGATTCACGTGGACTAGTAAACAAGAATTATGACAGAAAAATATTGCCAATAGAAGCGATATCTGTAATGACCGGACTGTGAGCGCGAGATAAACATATCAACGATCATCCTGCGGAGGAGATATAAGGATCAGATGAAATACCTGCTAACCTCACGCAATGAATAAATCAATAGTTTACCAACGAAAAGCATTTGCCCAATGACCCAGTCAGTTAGTAAAGCAGGCAGTTAATCGGTCGGTCAACCGATCCGTTTCTCAGCTTGTCAATCATTGAAAAGTCATTATTCACTAACCTCGTGATTTTTTTCCGGTCGAAACTGGCTCACTGACATGATCCATGGTTGCCTTTTTCCAGAACTGCTGATAGCCAAGTCCTCTGTCGGACATGGTGGATATAAAATAACCGGATAGCCGGTCCATAACGAGCGAATGTGGTTGCGTGTCCAGGTGGAATTAGTCATCACACAATCCACATTTGTAGGAGAACCGACCCAGCTATATGCACCAAGCATCAATCGATAATAGGACAGTTTGACACGAGTCATGAAACGACTATTGCGAATCCATGAGGCATTATTGTAAGTCACCCCGGTGACCTCATCCAAACTGGCCGAAAGACGATTGAGCATATCGACTGACACGGTTGGATAGTGTGCGTAGGCTACGGTTTTCGCACNACGAATACGTCAGGCGGACATCGGATCAACGCCTCCAAGCCAACCAGCATAGAACCGAGTGCTTGACCAGCCAGTGTCAGAACAGGATACATTTGAGGTGTCAGGAGTCGAGTGGTACTCAACAGAACAAAGTGAAGTGGGAATTTACTGTCTAACTGGACACCGAAAGTTTGCTTGACTTCATTGAGCACCTGTTTGCGATTCGTCAGGCATTGTGAATCCTGCGTATAGACCACAATCACGATCGGCTTGGATCTAATCAATTATGGATCTTTGTTGGATTAACAGAAATCGGGCACGGTTACTTGTATGACTGCATACTTTTGATTGCGGCCCACAGGACACGTTCACCACCTCCGCGTGATGTGCAGAACGGATGGAAGAAAGTGACCAATGAGAAATCGGCAGTCAGCCCGTACCGATCCACCAAGGCTTTTCGAACCTGAGAGCGACGCAGTTGGACAAGCCAGGGCAGTGCAATCAGCACCACCAGGATGGCCAGTGTCAAGAGCAGCTGTGAGATTTGTGTGGGAGTGAAAAGGGTGGACTTACCAAACACAGACACATTGCTGAGAATCACAAAAATTTTCGATGACCACGATGCGAAGAGGCTGAAACGGAAGTCGAATGGCAGAAGGAAACTGAATCGGCGAGTCAGGCGGATAAAATTGGATGGGTTAGATTTAACCAGTGTACAGTTCAGTTCAGTTTGTACAACCATTATGCGCTGATTTTGGTTGCTGTCTGTTGGCTGCCCCCTTGTTTGAGGAGGTAGAGAAAAAATATGAGAATAAGGTTGCGAAGAAATTCATACGTACGAGCTCCACTGTTTACGACACTCAGCCATACCACCCAGTGTCTAACTATTGATTACAATAATTCCGATGAAAAGTACGCCTTATGTGAGCAAGTCTCCTGGTCAGGATATACATACTCTCACGCCAGACCAACTTTGGCTTTCGACCACCAACTACCTGCCTCAGCAAACATCACGCGCATGGCAACTCGTTTGATGAAATGCGCAACACATGCCCCAAACAACGTAATAAATATCGGGGTCGACCACTTTCTCCAGTGGGCGACCGCGATTACCTACAAGTCTACACCTAACCTGACTATTGCCCGTCCGGTTGCCCGACCAAGTGCAATGCTACGTAGACAGCGGCGTTCGAATACCGATAGTCTATTTTTATCCCGTTTTCGTAACGGCCATATAGAAGAAGGGGCTCATCAGTGTAAAAAGGGACCGATTTCCAAAAGGTCTGTTCACTGCGTTCTAATCTATTTTCTTCAGTAGTTTACACTGACAATGGTGGGTAGATCCATCAGATATTTTAAAAACTTAATCGGGAAAAAATTACTGAATATCGAATGATTGAAATCAAAACATTAACTACTGAACAAAGGGAAACAAGAGGCGCGTATCTTGTTATCCAAACCAAAGGGAAATAATCAGATGTGATCAAAAAGAATTGCACGGTGCTGACAGAAGAGTGTAAGCAATAAGTAGATTGCTACCTCATTTAAATATGCGACGGCGAACCGAACAAACAGAATATACCGATTACACGACTGATAAAGACAAACTTATACAATTAAACTTCTGTTGTTATAGTCCAAAACTGAGAACCCATGAAACTGATAAAGTCCACGGCTTCAGTGGAACACAGACAGAAAAACCGCACTTCTCAACATAACGCGTCAATCTTCACAGACCAAGGACGATGGCG